TAAGCCCTTAACAAATGTTAGCCTAGATCATATTATTACTACGGTATATTATTTAAGAGTCACAATCAATTTGGTCTATATCAACTCTACAGATCTACATCACATTTGAATAACATTCAATACTTTTCAAGGTACCTCTAATCATTTCCTCTGCTCCTTACAACAATCAGATAAGGTCTACTACCCCATGTTACAAATCATTATTCCTAAAATTTATTTTGTGTACCTCTATGAAAAGGAAACTGGGCTAGAAATTTAAAGATATGTAAGATATAGATTGACATTCACAATGGTTTAGTGTCTGTTCCTTTATATGACAAGATTATACAATGAATCTGAGAAAGCGAGAGACAATTGCTCCTGGCTCAGAACTTCTAAAACTCCTTTAATTTCCTAAGTGAAAAGATCACTCGAATCACCTTTTGTTCTAATATTTGTTTTTTGCCAATGAGGTGACTCTGGGTGGGCTCCTGGATGTGGGCTGGTCATGGGAAAGACCGAGCCTTGATTCGAAGCTTGGAACTTTCAGCGCCATACTTCCATGCTCTTGAGAAGGGAAAGGGCTGACAATGAAGTTAATGATCGGCCATGCCTATGTGATGAAGTTTCCATAAAAATCCCAATAGTACAGGGTTCAGAGAGATTGCGGGTTGGTGAGCACATGGAGGTGCTAGGAGGGTGGCACACCTGGACAGGGCATAGAAGCTCCGTGTCTCTTCCCACATACCTTGCCTTTTACATCTCTTCCATCTGATGTTCATCTGTATCCTTTACTATATCCTTTTTGGGGGCCAGATGTAAGCTGGCAAGGTCCTTGCACCTGAAGGGGCTAGCAAGGCTGGGACCCTTACCCACACAGTTTTCCCAGACTTGTTTGGATGGCGATGATCAGTAGAATAAGAGCAACCTTTGTAGAATGAGAACAGCCTTTCATAGCTTACCAAGAAGTCTGTAACTATTTACTGAGATATGCTATACTGAGAACTTGTCCTTCTGCTGTGTCTCTCCCTTAGAGATTAAGAGGAACAAAGAATACATTCCTCTTGACAAACCTCCTATTCAGTGTGTTGTGTATAAATAAGATTGTGTGGCTAATAAACTCACTTCAGTTCTTCGAGAACTGGGGTCCTCCCGATCCCGCTTTCCTGTCTTTCTTTCTTTTCTCAATTCCCACCTCCCTGCCTCAGCCCGGCTCAACCTTGTCAGGCTGGCCCTGACACCTTTTATAATAAACTGGTAAATATCAGTAAGTATTTCCCGCATTCTGTGAGCTCAAATTAATTGAACCTAAGGAGGAGTTGTTACAATCTCTGATCTATAGCTAGTCAGTCAGTAACAACCTGGACTTGTGATTGGCATCTGGAGGTGGGAGGGCAGTCTTGTTGGACTGAACCCTTGACTTGTGGGATCTGATGCTGTCCACAGGTAAACAGTGTTCAATTGAGTCATTGTAGGACATCCAGCTGGTGTCAGAGCATTGCTTGTTAGTGTGGGGAACCCTTCTCCCCACACACATTGGAAACAGGTGATCAGAACCCATTAGAGAGAATGAAACAGGTTCTAGGAACTTTGTGTACTGACTGTAGATGAAGGCTACTTCTGTGGCTGTAGTAGGGTACCATAGCTTCAAAGAAGCACAAGGGGTATGGAGCCAGATAAAACTATGCCTTCCATACTTCTTTCAGGGCAATTCCATGGTCTTCTAGAAATTATGCCTGTGATGTACACTATGAAATGATACAGAACAGTCAAAATAAATAAAACACATGACATGAAATGATATGAATATCACTTAGCAAACTAATAAGTGAAAAAGTCCCTGAAATTACATACAATACAAGGCTCACTTTATAAAGAAAAAAAATTAAATGAAAAACTGTATAAAAATAAAGCAAATGGGCAATGAATATGGAGTTTGGGAGGGTGGTTACATCGTGTGGAGAGATCGAAGGGGAAGATCACGTGGTTGGTAGTAGGTTATTGTCAAAGTCTAATGTTCATGTTGGAGGGTGGTTTCAAAAGTACTTATTACATTATAGAAATAAATAAGAGAATAAATAGGAAGGGAGGAAGGAAGGGAGGAAGGAAGGAAGGAAGGGAGAGAGGGAGAGGAGAAAAAAAATGTATGTGGAAGAACTCTAGTGGAGCAAATAACTTTTCCAGAGGAAAAGAGAACAGTTAATGTCAAAATCCACAGTGGGTAGATTCCTTCTCTATGACTGGAGAATGTGGCCAAGATTAAAATCTTGTAATGCCATTTCAGGAGTTTAGCCAAAGAGAATATACATGCATTAGAACTTGTTGCTTCTCCAGAAGTCCCAATGCTCTGGCCAGCTTTACAAAATATTTATCTCCATGGCTGCCCGTAGTACAATAATGTTAGTTTCTTTTCCCAAGTATGGGAAGCTGAGACTGAGGTATATTTACAAATGTTTAAATAGCCACCCCAAATTCACTTACATAGCTCAAATATATAGAAGAAAAAGAACTTCATTTATTCAACAAAGATTTATTATGTGCCAAGCACATCCTAAGCACGAGGAACAGAGCAGCGAAGGCAACAGGCAAAATTCCCTGCATTCAAGTAGCTTTATGTTCTAGGGTTGAAAAGAACAGTGGCCATGGGGTGGGACACATTTTAAGGCCAAATAGTGATTAAGAGCCTGGACACTGAAGTTGGGCTGCTTGCGCTTCAATCCTGGCTCTTCCAACGGTCAAGCTACTTGGTTTCTCCCAGCCTCCATTCCTGTAGCTGGGAGTTAGTGCCTACACTGTAAAGTTCCTTGAGGATTGCGATTTAACATATACTACACCATTTAACATAGTGGCCGATACACACTCAGCACTCAAGTATTGGCAATGATGTGCTTGGTGAGGCGCTCACTCACCAAATCACTCAAGCCGAAGTGATAGGACCAAACTTGACACCTAACGACCTTGATTACCTTGTTCTATCCATCTAATCCCATCTAATCTCCTAAATATTTCTTAAGTGTGTGTGTGTATTTTTTTTCCTTTTGTCTCCCTTGCCACTATCTTAGTTCAGACTGACATTTCTGGTATTGATTATAGAACTTGCCAAGTAGGCTCCCTGCCTCTAGCTTTCTTCTATTCATTCTTCCCCCTGGGTCAAAAATTTGAGCACATATTTCCCTGATTGAAATCCTCCTGGAATGCCCCTCCCATCACTGCCCCCTGCTTATAAACTCTTTTTTGTTGTTAATCCTCACCTGAAGATATTTGTTCCAGTGATTTTTAAAGAGAGTGGAAGGGAGGGAGGGAGGGGGGAGAGAGAGAAACATTCGATCCGTTGCCTCCTGCATGCCCCGACTAGGCCCAGGGATTGAATCTGCAACCCAGGTTCCTGCCATTCAGCGGGCATCAAACCTGAAACCCTTCAGTCCCTGATGCTCTAACCACTGAGCAATGGCAGCCAGGGCTGCTTATAAACTCTTTAGCATGGTATGTGAGTTTTCATAAACTGGCCCCTGCTTATCACTGGTCACCTCCCCTTGTGCTCTAAGCCTCCATCACACTAACTTTTGCATAGAGTTGTGCACACATCATGCAAGTTCATAACTCTGTGACTTTGCAAGTGCTCTTAACTGTATGGGGAGCCTCTTCTCATTTTTTTAGCTGGTGGAATTTATAGCCATCAGGAGGCTGAATTCTTCATCCCACCTCCATACTGCTTCTTTCTCTTATACAATGTAATTTCCCTGAATGCACAGTACATACTGTGTTGCATTTATCTGCTTACATGTCTCTTTCTCAGATTTTAAAGCACTTTGGCAATAGAAAATGAATCTTATTCCCTTTGGTGTAACCAATACTTACTTAGCATACGGTGGGTAAAGTGTTGAAAGAATGGCTGCAGTGCTGTTGTGATCCTTTTGATGTTGCATGGTGATAAAAATGGTAACATGCTAATTGCATACTTACCATTTCCAGGCACAGGGCTACGTGTTCACAGGCATTATCTTACTTAATCTATTTTTTAAAATTGATTTTAGGGAGAGAGAGAAACATCAATGTGAGAGAGAAATATCAATTAGTTGCCTCCTGAAAGTGCGCAGACCAGGGATCAAACCCACAACCTGAGTATGTTTCCTACTGGGAATCGAACTCACCACCTTTTGGTGTATTGGAACAATGCTCTAACCGAGCCATGCCAGCCAGGACTATCTTACTTAATCTTTAAGAAACTCTATGAAAGAGACAGGCGCTATAATTATCACCATTTTACAGACGAGGAAACTTTAGCTTAGCAGGGCTTAGTAGTTGCCAGGGTCACAGAGCTGGTACACGGTAGGGCAGGAAGTCAAAACCATGTGTGTAGGATTCTAAATCCCTACACTTTTTCCCTGTATGCAATTTGGAAATTCCAGAACAAGAGATAACTTCTCTATCTTCCAGAAGGCCTCAGGAGTGTTCACCAGAGGAATGCATTGACTAAAAGCTCTGAACCCACACCTCACTGTTCATATTCTCACACGTCTATCATTTCTATCTAGTCCAGGCTAATAACTCCAACTGGAATTTTTTACCTCAGATATTTCATATCGGTCAAGATATTTCATGGTAGGTGTCTTTCAAAGATAACAAAGGGATTTTTAAAATGCATAGTTTGCAAACTTATTTTAGAGGAAGAGGAAAACCTGAAGACTTGATTCTGCTAAAGCAGTATTTAGCATAAAATAACCCCAACTCATGCTTGCCATTCAGACAGGAAGTGGTTAGATTAATAATTCCACACATGTTTTCTGACGGCTAAGTAACTTATTACGCATTGTCACTCATGAAGCTTGATCATGACTAGAAAGAGTAGGCAGGATCACATACATCTTCATTTTTATTGCTTTTCTTAAAGATGAATGTGATTAATATGGTAATAGATAGAGTGAAGCAGCAACAGCTTCTGTAACAAAAGCATGTTATAAAATAAAATTAGTTGTTGGCACCAGGTACCAACAATGTCAGTAGACGCTAAAAACAGACAATTTAACAAAGGCAGCAATTTTTATTACCCTGCTTTGCATTAGATATTTTAGAACTGTACAAAGATTCTCACTTCCTAAGCAGAAATATAATTTTAGATAGTATTAGGAGATTCTTCACATCATTTTAAATTTTCATTAATAAACTGCTACATTAGGATGAGATGCTCTAAAATAATTGTGTCATTGTTGTTGTTATGGAACAATGAAAATTTGTTAGGAAAACAGGCTGCTGTTTATACTTGCTTGTACTTTTAAACACTTGAGAAAGAAGGGAGCAGAGCTGTTGGGAAAGCCCACCGTGGGAGCAGGCAACCTTGGCAGACGATGTTCGTGACTCAGTCATCTCCTCCACAGAGCTTTAAGAGTGTGGCTTCATAGTCTCCAGAAGTATCCGACTGCAAAGAACAGGATGGGGAGAAGGACAGGTACAGCATAAACAATGAGGGGACCATAAAGGAACCAAATCTCGTAGCACTAGGGGGTTCACTGGGGTGCAAGACTCATGACCTGTACCGTTTAGTAAAATGCACCTGTAATTCCATCATTCATTCATACCTGAGTGTAGTTATTTTTCAGCCTAGCATCTTTTTCACAATAATGTTTAAATTCTTCCTGATGTAATTCAATTAAATTGCAATTTGGGTTTAATAAAATATATTTTCACCAATTATATAATATTACATAATATTAATTTTTAAGCAAAACTTTAAAAATCATAGTTTTAGTAATATATATTATTTACCAAACACTTGGTAAGTAATTACCAATTACTTTAACCCTTAGAAGAACTCAAACAGTAGGTTCATAAGTATCTCCCATTTAACACATCAGTAAGATGAGAAAAAGAGAGGTTAGAAACCTTGTGCCAAATCATATAATAAGCAACAGAAGCAGGATTTGAACCCAGATCTCCTGGCTCCTTAACACCATACTATACTTAAGAAAGTGAAATGAACTACATTCCCAAAGAGTGTATTTCTGATTTCCTTTCCCCTAGACTAGCCAAAAAGATCTTGATTCAGAAAACATACTACGTGAGATTGAGGCTTAAAGTACTAAGATGCAATGTTTACTATACAAAGGAGGTAAAGAAATGTTTGTATAGCATTGGAGGTAAAACTTGGCTTTGAAACTAAATTGTCTAAAAACCTCACATTATTCTTATTTTACTCAAGGCAACTCAAATGACGAGCATTTCTTATCATTTAAGTTTCACATTGGAGTGAATGTTAAGTAGTAGTTAATGCAAAGGAAGCAATGAAGAAAGGCTATTTAGAAAAGAAGTTAAGCATTATTTTCATAAGACACAATAGGCATTAACATACATTCTTTTTTGTATACAGTTTTTAGTTCTTCCCTTATTGGTTTTCTTAAGTCTTGCTCTGCCATAGGTAATAATTTCTCAAACTGCTGACAAGTCAAAAGTGCTCTAGTTTTGCATTAAAACAACTCCCTCTAATCACAAAGTTGTAAAAATTATTAGGGGTTCTATCAGTTAGTTGAGAAAATACTAGTGTATCCAAATAGCTTAGCACACAGATATCTTCTGGTGTTGAGTGATTAACCAGGGAACTTACATGCATATATGGACACAGACAATAGAGTCGCGAAGGCCTGGAAGGGGTGGGTGCAGTGTGGAGGGGGTCAATGGGAAAAACAAACAAACAAACAAACAAACAAAACAAACAAACAAACAAAGGGGACATCTGTAATACTTTCAACAATAAAGGGGGGGAAAAAGCAGAAAAGAAACTGAAAGTACAGATTTGAAAGAGTAATACGATCCCTGTACTATCAACTAAACATCTCTGATATATTTGAGAAGCATTGAAAAATATCTGATGCTCAACTGAATTCCATCTGCTTGCTTATTTTTATATTTCTTCCCTTTGCCCAACAATCAAGATGCTACATGTTTCAGAGGGTGCTGCTACAGAACAGGGGAGCCTTGGTATAGCTGAGGTATTAAGTGAAATTATGCAGACTATATAGTCCTGTCTGTGTAAGTATACAATGAAGTACTGAGATTTGGGATTAAAAAAAACAAACTTCTGATCCACTGTAGACACTAAACAAATAGTCATCCTTTTCTCCTATCTCTATTCCCTTATGTCTTCTGGTAAAATAGCTATTCAATTTATATGGTGTTTTAGAAATTTTATCACAAAAAAAGGTAGTGTAATTTCAAAACCTTTGAACATAATTCCCGCTTTCCTAATTAGGCCATATTAATTGTTCTTAAGAAACTAACTGCCCTAGCTGGTTTGGCTCAGTGGATTTGGCCTGCAGATTGAAGGGTCCCAGATTCAATTCCAGTCAAGGGCACATGACCAGGTTGCAGGCTAGATCCCCAGTAGGGGGTGTGCAGGAGGCAGCCAATCAATGATTCTCTTTCATCATTAATGTTTTTGTCTCTCTGTCTCTCTCTCCCTCTCCCTTCCTGTCTGAAATATATATATATAAATATGAAAGAAACTAACTAAATGTTTCTATTGGCCTGTTTTTAACAGAGGCCCTCTCTTCTCCCAACTTTGATTCCATCTTTTACCCTTTACATTTAATCCAGCTTCCCAATGAATTCCTGTGGTGTTTTTTAAGTTACTCTTTTTTTCCATCCTGACCACAACCAACGTACTCTGGGCTCTCATCTCTTGTCATAGTTTCTTTGACTCTAAATTCATCAATCTGTTTCTCCAAGTTGTTAATTCTTTTGCTTTGTAAATCTAGTCCAGTCACACCATATGCACAGCAGGCAGCCCTGTAAGGAGGCCCTGCTTTCCTCCTTCCTTTCTGGCAGCTCCAGCTTTGTCTTCTTTGAAGGCTTATCCTCTGCAATCCAGCCACTAATTGTTAGTAATGCTTAAATCTCCGTTCTCAGCTTTCTTCTCTTCTCAATCTGTATTTTCCTAGAGGATTTTCATCCATGTCCAAGGGTTCAATAACATAATTGACCCTGAAAATATATCTTATACCACCAGCTTACTGACTTGACATCTCCATTTACAGCTCAAAGACATCTCAAACTCAACATGTGCAAAACCAAACCCCTGCACTTTCTCCTCCACTCCCAGAAAAAACAAACAAACAAAAAAAGCCGACACCTAAACCCTGACCGTTGCAGGGAATGGCACAACTATCTGCATCATCCTTGACATCTCTCTTCCTTGCTCCTCACACCAAGTGTCTTAATTTAACTCCTAAATATCTCTGAAGTTTTTGCTCTTTCCTCTCTTTGCATTGCCAGTAGGTTTGCTTACTACTTTGCACCACCCGGTCATAACTACTCTAATATGACCAGTCTAATAACTTATCACTCCACATCTCTTCTATCGTCTGTCCAATTCATCCTCCACAGTCTCAGGGACCATTTCAAAGTGTACTTCTAATGATGACACTATGTGCTTAAAACGAACATTCTTCAGTGGCTTCCCACTACTCTTAAGCTAAAGACGAAATCTTTAAACATCGTCAAAAAGGTCCTCTGTGACCTGGTCCCTCAGCCTCATTTTTTCATTGTTTTTCCTCCAACACTAGGGCTTTTCACTTGTGACTCCTTTTGATAGAATGCTCTACTTTCTCCCAACACACACAACCTCTGCCTTTCAGATATGAATCAAACCTTCCTATAGGTCAAATCCTCCTATTATATGGTCTTATAGCACAATATTCCTTTCCTTTCCATTTAACATAGTTGTATAAACAAATTTTACATTTATTTGTAATTTCATAAGGACAGGAAACTTTTTTCCTTTGCCTATAATTGTAACCCTGCGCTTGGCACATAATTCTCATTCAGTAAATATTTTTAATTGAATAAATGAAATACAAATTCCATGATCTCAGAGCTCTCTTTCAACTGAATTCATCTTGCTATTTGGATTTTATTTTTCAATACTCCCCAAGGTAGACCTTCTAATTATTCAAGTGAACTTATTTCTTTTCCCCTCCTACTTCTCACCATACATGTTTCTAGAGCATTTACTTGTGAGACCCCACTGACCAGCATGCCACCTGACTCATAGGAGGCACTCAACACATGCTTATTAGCCTGAAAGATAGGTCAAACCCCTTTCCCTATCTAATCTCAAACTTCTTTTACTCTCAATTCCTGTATTACCCTCCTCTGTGTAATCAAATATTTAATTGTATGTTGTTTCATATTATTATCTTTTAATTATTTTATTTATGCCCACCTCACTTCATACAGATTATAAATTGAAAGGGACTACTATGTTTTCCCTTAAAGAGCCTGGACTTAGGTACTTAATCTGTTGATCAAAAATGCAATTCCATCCAAATATGCTCTTAATATCTTATTATTAATGAATAAGAGACACACATTTTTCACCTATGTCTTTCTCTCCTTCTCCCCACCAATCATCACCTGAGAAAGGTGTTAATAAGCAGAGAAATGTCTAAATAACAGGCAGAAGGGAGAGGAAGACAGAACTAAAGGCCAGGCTGATATTGTAGGGTTCAGAATGAGTCATCCCAAAATGTGCCTCTGTGGGATGCAGATTATTTTAAACTAAAGGCAACAGAGACCCTGTGGGCTCAAGAGAAACTTCTGCCCTCCCCCATTAACTACCAAGAAGAATTTGAATTGGGGGTTTTGCCGATAATAAGAGATTATCAGAGATAACCTTTCTGACCTATCTATAAGGCAGAGCAAACTACAACTTACTGAACTCTGTTCTTATCGCCCTGCAGTGACCCTCTGAAACCCCATGGCATCTCACTTCATATATGACCAGGAGGTAGTCAGATATAGCTCATTTTACCTTTCTATCCCTCAGCCTCTCCTGTATGTGAGGTTTCTGACTCTCTCATATATGTGGGGTTCCCATGCACACATATGCAATTAAATTTGGTTATTTTCTCTTATTAATATGTCTCATGTAGATTTAATCATTAGACCAGGCGAAACTTTCTTCCTCCCCGACAATATACAAAATGAAACTCTAGCTCCTGAATGACAGAAATGAAATCAACTGAAAGGATCTTATTCATCAGTAGTGAAAATGTAATGATATCGCCTAATAATGTACTTTCAGGTGGTAGAAATGAAGACACCTTATATAATTTTAAATTACAAACTGAACTCTTCAGCAATGAATTTTTATTTTCTATCAAGATACCCATAGTTTAAATGTTTCCTAATACAATCAGCCTCAATTACCCAGACCACTGCGGGAGGGAGAGCTACTGCTTAATTTAATTTTCTGGTTTGCTGAGGGTGAACCGAGAGCCCTCTTTATGTTTCAATCTTGTTACTGACAATCTTTATAAAAGTCATGCGTCTACTTTTCTGCCTTAGTAAGAACAATATGGTTAACGTTATTGAATTTTCCTCTGTTGATTGAAATGATTGTAATGTGTCAGGATCGATTCAAATTACATTGAGTGTGAGCAGTTGATGAAATCTGTGCTAAGCCCCAGGCACAGTCTGAGAGTTGCCTTTTTGAGTAAGTTCCTGATTTCAACTTAAGCATGCATCTCTTTCTGCAAAGGTTTAGTAAAAAGCAAAAGCCCTGGCTAGAACAATAAAATAGGGTGGGGGGGGGGATTTTGATTTATGACTCCAGTTGACTGAGTGATGTTCATTCATGCATCCACCGTAACACCATTTGTGGAGCCTGAGGCCAGAAAGTTCTCAGGGTGGCTGCCCAAAGGCCCACGCCAACAGGTGGTCAAGGGAAGCTTTGCTGGGCAGGGCCACTTCAAAGGCTGGGCCATGGGCTTCAGCTGTTCCTGGTGACATAGGAATGCGGACAGAATGGAGGAGTCCTTGGTGGGCAACTGGATTTTGTCTCCTGCATAGCATGGGACTCCAGCCTTGTAGATAGGCTTGAGGGAGGTTGGTTCCAGGATCAGAATCCACAGGGTTCATAAAACGATCCTATAGGTAGGCCCCAGATGTTTGGACAGCTCAGACTCCACACCCGACTCCGGACCACGGGTGCTCAGAGCAAACGTGTCCTTCTCTCAGGCTAGGTTTGTCCTCTGGGTGCCACCTCTGAGCTCGGGCCTCAGTGACTCTACACTGATTGAGATCCATTTGTCTTCATGTCTGGGCTAATGATCGCCAAAGCTGATTTCTCCAGACAGCTGTTAGGTAGATGAGGCTGAGGCATAGAGAGCCTGTAGGACGTCTGTGAAGCCAGCCCCGGACTCCATCTTTGCACCTAGCCAGTGACTCTGGAGGCTGGGGCAATGTGATGGCTTGCCCTTCAACCTGGGCTTCCATTTTGTTCAGGAACCCAGCGTGGACCACCCTTCTCTACCACTCATGGCCTGGGTGCCATCTTGGAGGCTGACGTAAAGAGCAATCTTCAATGGGAGCTAGCCCCTTCTTTCATCGTTTCCAAGTTGTCATATTCTTATTGGGACTGTGGCTTTACCATTAGTTCCATGTATGGAAGCCTCTTACACAATTTTTTCAGGTCTTACTTCTTTATAATTTGTCATTTATTTGGGGTTTATCTACATATATAATATCAACTAAGATCTGAGGACAATGAAAACTGGTTTCATTCTTTAAAACTGAAAGGAAGTTATATAACATATTTAAGGATTCTCATCCAGACTGTAAGGAATTAATTTTTTTTTTAAAATCAAGAAACTATAAAAGAAAACATTGATGAATTCTATTTGGTGCCAAACAGTATGAAAAAACACCTTCAGCCATGTCAACAGAAAAACAACAAACTGGGGGAAATAGTTATAATTCATAGACAAAAGGTGAATCTAACATACATGAAAAGAGGTCTTAGAAATTGACACCCTCTCAAAAAATTTTATAACCCAAATTTCAATAGAATAATGGGCAAGTAACATAAAAAAAATTACCAGAAGGGAAATGCAAATGGCATTTAAAACATGAAAACATGTTCGGCTTTCTTCATATTAAGAAAAAGATATACTAATACTACACTGAGATGCAATTTCTCACCTATCAGATTATACAAACACAAAGCTAGAAAACACCCTCTGTGCCAAAGCTGTGGAGAAACAAGGACTCATATATTCTTCATGGAAGTACAGACGGAAGTCAACTGGTAATATTTACCAAAATTACAAATATATTCACATCTGTCTCAGCAATCCTACATACTTTTGAGAATTTATCTCAGGAGAAAACTGCTCGAATTTATCCCACAGATACACTTGTACCTTAGGAAACTGTGTATGCACATGGCAGCATTGTTTGTAATAGCAAGAAACTGGAAACATCTGTTGATGTGGTGGGTATAAATAAACAAATAATAGAATGATACACAGCTATTTAAAAGACTGAGAAAGTCTTTTTCGATATACTGCAATGAAAAGAACTCCGAGGTGCAGAACCATGCTATCTTTTGTGTGAAACAAAGAGGAAATTTAAAATATGTAGTTTTCTTTCCTGTCATTTTCATAAACAGTAAAATAAATAAAAACAGTGCAATATAACAATAGGTAAATAATTTGCATGTGCAATTCAAAAAAGAAGAAAAATTAGTGGCCACTAAACAGAAAAAAAAAGTGGGTATCTATCATGTGGCTGAGATTCTAGAGCTGAAAACAGTCTCTATGTTTAAGGGCTGTTTTGCTCCCACTACACATTTACACACTGACAAAGAGAGAGAAATCTAAGTCACATATCTCCATGTTCTAAGGATTGTAAGGGAAAGAGAATAGGGAGAGAAAGGCAAAATGTGTTTTGCTGTTTTTAAGAAGAGACTTACTTTAATTGCTGAATATAGAGAATAGCCACAACGCTTCTTAAACTCTGCTCGAATGTCCAAAAGGTCAATTTCTGATCTGGAAACCATTATTCGGTTCAGAGTAAACTCATCGGTTCCAGCACCCTGTTAAGAGATGTAGACATCCACAGCACAAATCAGCCACAGAACAGCGTATAAATCTATATGTATAAGAAACAGATAACGGTGCACAATATAGTCCACTGTGGTGACTCTCCTCCCCTCGTTGAACATAAAACCTCATTATTCATTTGTCTAAGAAATATTTATCGAGAGCTTACTTTGTGCCAGTACCATGCCTCATGCTGCAAACAGAGACGGGACACTTCCAATTTTGCAAAGGATACAGGTAGGAAAACAGGCCATATAATATAATGTGACATATAAGAAATATTGGGTACTATAGGCACACATATGAGGGGAGCCTAAAATAGATTAAGGATTAGAAAAGGTCTGTCTGAGAAAGTGGTATTTAAGCTGAGGCCTAAATAACCAGACAGGAGAAGGGGTGGGGTTCACAGAAAGAGGAAAAACAAACAAACAAACAAAAACGTTCCAATGGAGAAAACGGCAGGTGTGAAGGTTTAGGGCAAGAAAGAATGCCGCACTCAAGGACACACAAATAATGAAGAGGAGTAGCAAGAGATGTGTCTGGAAAAGCAGGACCTTATAAGCCACAAAATGAAGTTCCAACTTTATCCCAAGAGTGAAGAACTACTGCAGTCTTTTCAAGAGGAGAGTTCAGAAATGGGAGCAGAGTTGCGCTTTCCCTAGATCTCTCTGGCAGCGGTATGAGGAATGGAGTGCGGGGCAGGGGGAGGATGAAGATAACAGAATGAGACTGGAAGCTTTGGCACTAACATAAAAAAGAGAAGTTGATGGCCTGACCTGGAAAAATGGCGGTGCGATGGAGAAAATGGGTCGATTTAAGAGATGCTTGTAAAGGCAGAGGACAAAACTGGATGTATCATTTGAACAGAGTGAAGGAGAGGGAGACGCGTAAAATTCCCGAGCAGTTACACTGACACAATTCATTTATTCAACAAATGCACATTGAACGGGTCCTCTATGCCAGGCATTGCTTCGTGCACTGCGCGTATGACAGTGAACAACACAGACCGTACCTCTCCTCATGCAGCTAACGTTCCATGAATGGAGATGGTCAGTAGAGAAAATTAACGGAGTGTTTAAATAAATAGCAATGAGAACTATGGAACAGTGTGACTAAAAGGGAGACAATTGACCTGAGTAGTCAGGGAAGACCTTTCTCAGGAGGTGACATTTGAGCAGAGACCTGACAGGTGAGAAGGAGCCAATCACAGGTAGACCTGGAGGAGGTACCTTTCAGGCAGAGAGGACAACAAATGCACAGACTCTGACGTGGGAAGAGACCTGGCATAGTCCGGGACAGGAGGGCCGAAGAGGCTGAGGCACAGAGAACAAGGATGGGAGGAGTGGTCTGACTTCAGGAGCGGGGCCAGGGCAGGTCCTGCTGGGGATTTCCACTGAGATGGCTGAACGCAGGCAGGGGAGCGGACCTGGGGTGGCGGGGAGGTGAAGTGAGGGACGTGATGTGTTTACTTTGGACATAACTCAGAAGGTGCACGTGGACTCCCCTAGGAAATGTCCAGTAAGGAAAGTGGAGCAAGCATCTTCTACGTGCCAGGCCCAGTGCTAGGGTCTGAATATATAAAAGAGAAAAGCAAGCTCCTCTGCTCCCGGAGCTCACCATCCAGCAGGGGCAACAGACAAGGCAGTTTGGTCTCTTTTAAGTAAGGCGGCTTGAGAGGCCACTGGACCTAAGGGGTCAGGTTTGAGGTGTGCCGTTCGAAAACAGGTTCTATTGCCTGTGAACCGGGGGAAGTAATTTAGTCAACACTTTACTGTACCAACTGTTATAATGATTAGGACACTCATGATCAATCCATGGCACGGATTAGCTACAACAGAGAGCTCATCAAAGTGAATGGAATTGCATCAATAATGGCAATGTTTTTACATTTTCCGTGAGGGAAGCTAAGAACACGTATGAAATTTCCAGACCAACCTTCAAAGCGCGATGCAGTCTTTCAGCTAAAAAGGCAGGTATGTTCCTTGCACAATGAACTGTAGAAAAAATAAAGTATGTTCATTGTCCTTTAATTGAAATTGAGTTAATATACAGTAAAATGTTTTTAGAAACGATTCATACCCATTTTACTCCCTCCCCACTACTGGCCTTTATTTAGAATGAAAGAATGAATACTTAACCTAGATTTCAAAGCCTTGTAGCATCATATTTGCACAGAACGTTAGCAGAAGTGATCTTTAGCCGTGGGGAAAGTAAAATTAGCTGCCAAAGAAACTCCCACAGCACATGACTCATCTCCAGATCTCAGACACACCAACAACTTCGCTTCCACTGATAACTCCCCAGGGTGGGCCACTGCTCCATTTCTAACAGCTTTGACTACTGATGAATAACTTGGGTCTAGAGACTGCAGAGATGTTGCCCAAATAACTCGTTAGGTAAGAAGAGGCACTGGAGTTCATTTTTAAACCAGCTTTTCAAATGGAAAGATTTTCTCTTAAGTGGCTGTATCTAAATTCAGTTACTAAAAAATACTGCAATCTTTTAATTCTTTATTTTGAAATAACAAGTAAAGCAGAAGTAAAACAAACAAACAAGCAAAAAAAGCAATTGGCAAAAACATGAGCAAATTAAGTATAGTTTAAATAAAGTGAAAATCATCAGGAATAGAAAAGTCTGTAGAGAGAAAATCTATTGCAACACACGTACTTTTATAGCTTCAAATGTGATCTGCAGATAGGAATCTGATGAAAGTGAATAAATTTTATAATGAATTTTGGAGGTCAGAACCAGGATAAGTAGCTTTCTCATAGTGCCCTACTGGCTCTCTTCAGGAACCAGAAAGGCCTTCAGTTTGTGTAATTGACTTAAGGGAAATAGTGGGGCGGCAGGGGGCGGGGGGAGAGAGGATGTATTAGACACTCAAACGTGGAATCTGGGACAAATATGAAAACAGTGTTAGATGTGAAGTTGTCTGAGAATAAACCAACCATTTGGATCAGTTGTACCTATTTTTTTCTGAAATTCATATTAAGCAAGCCTTAATACTTTGATTAAAAGTTGTTATGCCCACTTTATCCTAATAAAGTTTTCAATCATCTCCCTCTCCCTAAGCTAAACCCTTATTAGAATACTTCCCCCTGCCCTCATAACCCTTTAGCTTGTCTTCTGCTTTATGCTTTTAACCACCAGGTTTGTTCTTTATGCCCCAAAATGTTGGGAAGTGGTGTTAGACATAGTGATAGAAAGTTTGCTTTAGCACCCAACATCGAAAGTAGGAAAACTCAGGGAAATCTCTGACATGCAGGGAGTCCACTGAAATGAATTACAGTGACCAAGAGGCCACAGCTGCCCATTTCTCACCTTCTGTGATGTCTTGACCAAACTTCAGTCAGTCCTTTCTCCTCCCCCAGGCCCCTGAACTCTGGCTGCCCCCCACCCGAGCAAGCACTAAAACATGAAACATGCCCTCCTACCAGCTTGTCCCGAGAGTGAGGTGACAGAGCCAAACACATCTCCTGTAAAACCCCAACGATCATGCTCCCTGGCTTCTCCAACTCCCATGCCAAAGAGAAGCCCTTTCTGTTTGATTCTGAGACTCCTGCACATGCCTGAGATGAAAGCCTTCTTCCTATTGGGAAAGTCTTTTTGAGTAGAGCCTCCCCTATCTAAGTCCAGATTTGACAACTAGAACTGTTCTATTATGCCTTTCTAAGGTGATACAGCTCAGGTGGGTTTTCATATGAAACACTATGTGTTGACATGCTGTATTAGACTCCTTGTGCATGAAATATTTAGAATAGGCAAATCTATCAACATTGAAAGTATGGGTTATTAGGGGCTGAGGGGTGATTGCTAGTGGGTACAGGGTTTCTGTGGGAGCTGATGAAAATAGCCTAAATTTAGATTGTGGCAATGGTTGCACAACTCTGTAAATATATTAAAAAGCACTATAATGCATACTTTGAATAGGTGAATTTTATGGTGGGTTATAGCTCAGTAAAGATGAGACAAACTGTGATGTATTCCAATAGTAAACAAATAGAAATGAGTGTGACATATCTTGAACTTTGAATTAGTCGAATTATAAGATCTTTCTTTTACTTGATAAAACAATATACATTATAGCCTAAATTTAGTGTATCATTCAATATGTATTTCCAAGAATGCTTCTTAGCTCAATGAGTAAGAATTCACACATTTCAATAAAGTTTTTCAAATATGAGAGCAGGTAGCAAAATTGATGTAAAGAGCAACAATGTGAAATAGAAAAAAATAAACTGGCTACATCACTGCCTCCGAACTGATTATGGAGACAGCTCTATTCCATTTTTTTAATTGAAAAAGAAGCTTTTTCTATGTTGGCCTATCTTTTAGCAATTCAGAGTCAACAGTATTTTCTCTTTCTCCCTCCCTCCCTCTTTCCCTCCCTCCTTCCCTTCCATCCCTCCCTCCTTCCCTCCCTTTCTTCTTTCATTCCTTCTTTTTCTCTGTTTTTCTATACTATGAGTATAATGGTTAAGAGTATATATTCTGGAGCCAGCTTTCAAGGATTAAATTTTTGTTCCATCAATTATTAGGCCTATGGCCTAATAATTTAACCTCTCTGTGCCTCAGTTTGCTCATCTGTTCTATGTTGTATCTTTTAGCAGTATTTTCCCTCCCTCCCTCCCTCCCTTCCTCCCTTCCTTCCTCCCTCCCTCCCTTTCTTTTTACCAGCATTTGGATAAAGAGCCCTGTTCTGGCACTGAAGAGAGGATTAGAAGTCAAGTGAAATGATGTATGTGGAAGAAGCCCTGAGGATGGTCTGAAACTTCGTGAGCGGTTGCTACCTGGTGTCTTTTCTGTAATTTACTTTAAAATACTTCAGTACAGACCGTGTGATGTGTGTGTGTTTCAGCCTCTGTTTACACCCTGAGTGGCTGGTTCTCCCCACAGATCGTGGAGCCTGACCGCTGGGTGACCTCAGCTCGACCTGCATTCCCTGAGTGGCCTGGGAAGGAACTGAACTTCATGTGCCTCAGGTTTACCATCTCGACCACCCCTAACCCAGGGGATTGTTATAAGGCTTAAATATGTCGATATTTGTAAAGAGTTTAGCGCAGCGCTGAGCACGTGGTAAGTGCCAGATGAGTACTTATTGAAAAATACAACGTGAGGAACCCTCCTTGGGAGCTCACCTCCAGACACAATAATTAACATCTGAAGATGAATCAGAGGCTCACGCCAGGGGAGGGCACCTTCAGACATCAGCTCTCCTGATCTCACCAGAGGAGCTATTCATTATCACGTGGATGACAGAAATGCTTTTTCATACAGGCACTCCTGCCCTGGAATTGATGGAGAAGAAGCCGCAGCAAGCACAGTCACCACCCTAAGTTAGAGCGGTTTAGGATTACCAACAATCCCGGGTGTGTACAAGCACGTGACAGATTCCCTTGCCTGACTCTGACCAGATGGGTCCCCGAATCCTGTCTTTGAATCGTCTCTCACTCTCTGGCCGCACCTTCCTCGCCTCATGAGAGGCAGATTGCCTTGTATGACAGCGTCTCTGTCTGCTTGTTTATCCTGGGTCTTTCTTTTTCTTTTTTTTTTTTTTAAATATATTTTATTAAATCCTGTCTTTGAACCGTCTCTCATTCTCTGGCCGCACCTTCCTCGCCTCATGAGAGGCAGGTCACCTTTTATGACAGCGTCTCTGTCTGCTTGTTTATCCCGGGTCTTTCTGATGCACTCCCTGCTAGCACAGCTGAGGGGAGGAGACCCATAGTTCCACCTGAGCTCAACTAGCCATTGACATCGTCCAACGACCCAAAATGGGAAATCACCAAATTGGCTCACATCTCCGACGCTCTATCCACTGAGCCAAACCGGCTGGGCGATCCTGGGTCTTTCTGATGCACTCCCTGCTAGCACAGCCGAGGGGAGGAGACCCATAGTTCCACCTGAGTTCAACTAGCCACTGACATCGTGCAATGACCCAAAATGGGAAATCACCAAATTGGCTCACATCTCAGCTTTCAACAAAGCTCAATAGAAATGCCAATAGAAATGTCATATTTTATCTCTCAAGGAGTTTACAATCCAAATGTGGTGACAAGCCAAATACAAAGTTAAAAGCAAAGTAAGATTTAAAAAATTACTTTTTTCATATATCCATTTACCCATATCTGTTGAGCATATTGTTAAATGGATGCTGTGGGAGCCTAAAGATGGGCCAGTCAGGATTCTTACAAGGAGCTCACCCCGACATTGTTCACATCCAGTGCAAAGTAACTCAGTTTGGAAGCACTTAAGAGCTTACCTATGGCCAGCAGTAGGTCTTCAAAATGTCCAGATAGTTCTCCTTTTATGCTGTCCTCAATGTCCTTCTGGCTAATATTTCTGTATTCATCAAACGCTAAAAAGCAGTACCACAAAAACAGTGAAAGCATCACAGTCGACCACACATGAATATATTCCAGTTTTTTAACTGATACGCAGCAAATCAAGTTGTTAAGTGGTGAGCTCAAAACCCCTTCTTTAACTCATCAAAATTGGAACTTGGAAGTTTTTGTTTTTCGTGTCTTTAAAAAAACATCAAACTACAATAAAACCTGAACTTCATAGGCCATTTTCTTCAATGATCTTCCTCTCTCTCTCTCCTCTCCATTTCCCCATGTTGTTAGCATTTAAAATAGCCTAAAAGGTTAAATAATATGTCTAGGAAGGCAGGCTGTGTTTAAATTATAGCAGCACCTGGGTCATTAATCAAATATGTGTTATCTGCCAACACAGTCTTCAATATGAAGATTTCTTATTGCTGAGCAGATCATTCCCTCAGGGGCATGGCCTACTTCTCATGTACCTGAAGGCATTCCAATTTCTTGATCAGTTTTTGCCCCAAAGCAAAACCTGTACATGCAAGTATATGGACATATTTTGCAAGTCAAGTAATTTTTTCCAAGTAAATTTTGGAAAAAAAAGAAAGAAAGAAATTTTGGAGAGACATCTAGGATTGCTTGGTTTTTGTTTTTAAAATGAAGATGTTGGCTCCTCCCTGGCCCAGGCCCTGGTCAAGTCACATGCATGAGGCAACCAATTGATATGTTTCTCTCACATCGCTATTTCTCTGTCTTTCCCTCTTCTACTCTCTCTAAAAATCAATGGAAAAATATCCTTGAGTGAGGATTAAATAAATAAAGATGTTAATAAAGCAACTATGATATACAATTACCATTATTTTATAAATGAAATTCTAATGCCAAACTTAAGGAAGGGAAACTTCAGAATTAAAAAATCCTGGTACTGTCTTCGTATTTTCTCATTTTCCCATGACTCAGCAGAAGCCTGGTCATGCACTGTGGCTGGCACTGTTGTCTTGACCTGCACCTGGAGCCCCAGTCAGGTGCTCCCAGGAAATGGGCTTCTGGGCTTCCAGGTGCCGTTGCTTCCAGAATGGCTCAGGGAGAGGCATGAGTGGGAGGGTGGACGCGTGGCAGTTCCACGTAATAGTTGGTCTGACAAAGGGGGCTCCCAATTTACCTTCATTTCAGAGAGAGGTGAATGGTAATCCATGCTAACCCATTAACAGCACCTGGTTTTTCTGGAAAGTGCCTAACTAGGGAAGTGTTGGGGTGGAAGCAATGCAGGCAGGGTCCTCCATACACAGGAACACTCCTCTCTGCTCTCACCCCAGAGGGCGGCCCCTTTTCTCCTCCCACCAACCCTTCCATCTGTTACCTGTCCCTCACTAGGCATCTACTCAGCCTCTAGGGCAGTGGTTCTCAACCTCCCTAATGCCGCGACCCTTTAATACAGTTCCTCATGTTGTGGTGACCCCCAACCACAAAATTATTTTCGTTGCTACTTCATAACTGTAATTTTGCTACTGTTATGAATCGTAATGTAAATATCTGATATGCAGGATGTATTTTCATTGTTACAAATTGAACATAATTAAAGCATAGTGATTAATCACAAAAACAATATGTAATTATATATGTGTTTCTGATGGTCTTAGGCGACCCCCAAAGGGGTTGTGACCCACAGGTTGGCGACCCACAGGCTGAGAACCGCTGCTCTAGGGGAAAAGAATCATGTCAGTTCTGCCTTGACTTGTTGATTCCTGAACTGTTGATACATAAAAATGGAACCACCTTTGCAATTTTTAACTTCGTTTTCCAGAATTTTGTACATTAAATGCAAAAAACATTTGCAAAGCCACACAGAGCCAAAAAGATTATAACGAGAGTCCTTACTTCGTTTTAGCTGGGGAAAGCTCCTTAGACACAGGATCTCTGTGAACTTATCTTCGTCGGTGCCCCACTTCTTCTCACCAGCGTTATAGAGAATCTGTGGGACAAGGCAGGGAGACTTAAATGTTCTTATGGACATAGTCCTCTTGTCTTTTTTTGAAGGGTTAAGAGGAGAGGAGGTTTCTTTTGTTTTAGAGTCAGCGAGATAATTATTCAAATTTCTCATGTTTAGCAGAGTAGAAATCTGAGAGGTGGGGTGGCAGGGGCTAGGGGATAATAACCCTACTGAGGAAGGCTGGTCCCCAGCTTTCTCAGACAGGACAGGAGACCGCAGCCCCAGCTGTGCCACAGAAATGAAAAGGTGGACAAGGGTGAGGGGGTAGTAGTTAAAGGAGATGTTTTCTTTGCTCTGTTACTGACCTGGGCATCCTTTTTGGCCAGCTGCTCATCCACTTTCAGACTTTCATCTCTTCTGCCCTAAACAAGGAAGATAAGAGCAAGGGCAACCCTTGTAAAGACAGAAGATTCTAACGCGTGGTATTCCCACCAGCAGGGTGTCTGAGAGGTTCACAGAGGACTTGGGCTCCTGGGGCTCTAGTTGTTGCTCTGTCACTGACTGGCCACGAAATTTGTAGCAACATCACACAATTTTCTGAGCTGTAGTTTCCTACTCTGAAAATTCAAAGATCATAAGGGAATGAAAAGACAAGTCACAGACTGGGAGAAAATATTGTTGGTAAACTCATATCTGATATAGGACTTATATCCAAAATATATAAAGAATTCTTAACATTCAGCAATAATATAACAAACAACCCAACTGGAAAATGGGCAAAAGGTCTGAGCACCCTCGGATATATAGATGGTAAAAAAGCACATAAAGGATGCTCAACATCAAATATCATTAGGGAGTTGAAAATTAAAACAATAAGATACCATTTATTAGGATGGCTAAAATCCAAAACACTGATAACACCATATTGCTGGCAAGGATTGCAGCAACAGGAACTCTCATTCATTGCTGGTGGGAATGCAAAATGGTACAGCCACACAGTTTGGCAGTTTCTTAACAAAACTAAACATACTCCTACTCCTTGGTATTTACCCAAAGGAGTTGAAAATTTATATTTACATAAAAACTTGCACATGAATGTTCACAGAAATTTCTATTCATCATCACCCAAACTTGAAAGCAAACAAGATGCCCTTCAACAAGTGAGACATCCTATATAATAAAAGGCTAATATGCAAATAGACCAAATGGCAGAACAACCAAACTATCAGTCGCTATGATGTGCACTGAACACCAGGGGGTGTGTGCGGAACATGGAAGGTGTTGGCAGCAGGCAGCAGAGTATGGATCATGGTAGGCATCAGCAGCGGAGGGATGGTGGAGCAGGTGAGCGGGGGCACCAGACCAAGGCAGGGGCTGTCGCTGTCATCGGGGCAAGCCTCTGGTGGTTACTGAAAATTCTTTGCTCCCACATGCCATGGTCCCGCCCGGCGCTTGCACCTGCTGCCGGCGCCGGCCCCACTCGCATCCACTGCTGGTGCTGGAGCCGCCACTCACACCCCTGTTGGCGCCGGCCCTGCCTGCACCCATGGCAGGATGGTGGAGCAGGGACTTTGGATGGAGGGGCCAGGTGGGGGGTGTGGAGGATGGGCCGAGACCCACCCCTGTGCCCACTGCAGCCTCGCGGCCCACAGTTCCTTTCAAGGTGCACGGATTCATGCACTGGGCCCCTAGTACTACTATAATATACCCGTATAATGGAATAGTATTTGTGATAAAAAGGAAATGAGCTATGAAGCCAAGAAAAGACACTTAGCATGCTGCTAAGTGAAGGGGCCAGTCTGAAAAGACCACCCACTATAGTATAATTCCAACTATATGACAGTCTAGAAAGGGCAAAACCATAGAGACAGTACAAAGTTCAGTTGTTGTGAGGGGTTTGGAGGGAGGAAGAGAGAGATGACTAGTTGGAGCACAGAATATTTCTAGGGCAGGAAAACTATTCTGTATGATACTGTCCTGATGGATACGTGACATTAAGCATTTGTCAAAACTCACAGGCTGTATAACACAAAGAGTAAACCCTATTGTACACTATGCACTTTAGTTAATAATAATAATGTATCAGTATTCATCAACTGTAATGAATGTACCACTTTAACACAATACATTAGTAATAGGGGAAATAGTGAGGAGACAGGAGGAGGGGCATATGGGATCCCTCAGTACTTTCTGCTCAAATTTTCTGTAAATCTAAAATTTCTCTAAAAAATAAAGTCTAATAAAAACAAAAACCAGTTCAAAGGTCCCCACCAGCTCTGCTATTGAAGCCTCTGTGGCTAAGTGTGTGCTCCTGTGCAAGCACTTCAGCTCATAGAGGCAGGAGGTTGAGGGGAAAGAGGATTGTCTGAATTACTCTGAAAATTATAGGTGAATGAAATATTGGCTATAATGTTTAAAAAGCCTTTGTTCCTGTTTTCAAATAGATCCTTGTCTGCCTGTCTGATTTTCACATGATTTCTTTGCCTTCTTGTTCCCTCATTGTGCATTCTGCTCTAGTCATAAAAATGCTGATTACCATTGATTTAATAATAATCAGCTACCACTACCACGTACTGATCACTTTCTATGTGCTAAGTACTTCATATCACCTATCTATCTATCTATCTATCTATCTATCTATCTATCTATCTATCTATCATCTATCTTTGCAGCATCTATGACATTAGTACTGTTATTACTTTAATTTTACACATGTGAAAACAAGAGCTTTGAGGCTTAAAGTAATGTGTCCAGACACATAAAGCTGGTAGGCAACAGAGGAGCATACGATTCCAGGTCTGTTTGATTCTGAAACCCTGCCCGGAAGCCCTGATCTTTGCTGCCTCCTGTGAGTATGTGTGTGTGCCCTGTGCACACACACAGACGTGCACTTTTGAATATAAACCTCTGGGGTGTACGTTTGCAGCAATGCCCCATAAATTGGCGACCCTCATAAGGTTTCCACCATTTGAAATATCTGAAACAAAAATTAAGGGAACTTGTTTCTTAGTGGCATTTGCCTCACTTTGACAAGTGCTGCTTGAGACCACTGTTGGGGTTCTCTCACATGTTACAGGCTGCGTAAATCAGCTGAGAGAGGCCAGTGGGACAGGCTTATTTCCTCTCTTACACACACCTGGGATTACAGCTCATCCTTGACCCTGCCCACCTGTATTATAAAGTCATGAGCCTCCTAAAAAGAGACAGCAAAGTGTGGAGTCGTTTAGTCACATGGTGATGAGTGATTTAGCAACTCTTCCAAAGGCATAAGGATGAAGTAGCTACAAGTTATTTTTTTTTTAAATCCTGAGACTAATATACCCATCTCTGAAGACAATTTGTCTGTATTATGTTTCGTACTTAATTTAAATGCTAACAAAAGGAATATTTATTCTTTGGAGTACAGATAAAAATAAGCATGTTCTTAAAATGGAGATACTTAAAATAGAAATGGGCAATTATTTTATGTCAGATGAATTATCAGAACATGTCTAATGTATTGTGAAACCTGATCTTAACACTTTTAATCCATATACTGACCATCAAAAGATTTTTTGGTTACATGATGACATTATACTTTTCGGATGGTGGTTAAACGTACTGTTCCATGGCAATGCAAACACAAAGTGAGTGAATCATTTCATAAGGAAAATCGCAAGCTCATTGTCTCCATTTGGTTATTTTTAAACCCCCTAATTATTATTGAGCATGCAGCTAATTGAGGAATTAAAAAATAAAAGATAAACCTTACGTCTGCCAAAGTCAACAGAGCTTTCCGGAAGTCACCAGATGTTTCAGAGCTGATGTCATCTCCAAGACTCTTCTTATATACTGAAACCACATAAGAATGGAGTTAAGCCTTGACAAACTGGAAAATAGTATTATAAACCAGAGACAAGTTTAAGTGTCCACGTTGTCCAGAAATGAGTACCTGATAAAAGAAACCTTGCTTTTTTTTTTTTAATTTCCTGGTGTTCTTCTGAGATGGGTACCCTGTTGTAGCTATTACTATAGTACGTGTTGTGGTAGGTGCACAGGGACAGAAAGAATTGCCATTCTGGATCAAACCATGGTCCGCTTCATCTGACAATGGCACCAAGGAACACACGCACTAGTACAGTGGGGAAGCTTGAGTGGGCTAGCTGCTAGTCTGCCTTCCAGTTTCTATTCTCTCTTTCTTCTGTAGCAATAGAACCCTCACCTTGAGCAAATCATAATGCCCGCAGCATAAAGACTACATTCTCAGCTTTCCTCTTAGCGCGTACAGCTCCATGACTAAGTTCTTGTCAGTGGAATGTAGGCAGACAAATGCGGCATTGCTGAGACATCTCCATAAGGGATGGCTCACGCCCATCTTAGTCCCTTCCTCCACCCTCATGCCTGGTCTGTAGATGCATATCTGAGCATACCTGGAGCTCAGGGAGCCATCCTGGCCTATGAAGATAAGGACTACATCTAAATGATGGCAGAAACGTAAGCAGAAATGGGCCTGGACTCCTGAAAGTTCTGAGGTGCTCTCATGCCAGTCCTAGAATTGCCTGTCTCCAGACCTCGTCTACATGTGGGAGAAATATACTTAGACCTTATCTGAGCCACTGTAATATTTGTTTTATGGGTGCATAGAGCTAGATTGTATTATTTGATAGCTCTCAAAAGAAAGCTACCCTAAAAGACACAATTTTTCCATAACAAATGACAACTGCATGTCCACCTGTTTCAGGGCTGACTAGTTGTAGCTCCTCCTGCGTGGCTGGTTATGCAGTGTGCACTGAGTTTAAGGCCCTGCTCTGCTCCATCCACGCCTCACTGATCCTCTCGGAGTCATATACCTGCGTGCATCTGATACCAGGTGGCCGTTTGAACTCTGCCTGCATCACTTTTAAGGGCTCTATAAATTAGTCATATGAATGCTTGTCCTTTTAAATCAATAAAAGACAATTATAGAAAGTGATATAAGGTTATCTAGTAGCAAGAACTGTGTAGAGATCGAAACTCTTCCAGCATGCTTTAGTCTCTTTTTATGAAATCTATATTTTTTCCAGAGCAATTCAAATAAGCAAAATTCACTATAAATTATCTAAGTAATAATAACATTAGGTAAGCACCATTTTACCTAATAGTCATGGTATCATTATGTCTATTCTTCACTTTAATTAGAAAAAAATAATTATTTAAAAATATCAAGCCAAGAATAAAGCTCTCACGTGTTAGAATTTGAGGAAGTATTTCACATTTTAGAATCTTCTAGATGAGGCCTTATAGTCATTTTATGTAGCCTCCCCACACCTCCCTTGACCCCAGATATTTTTCAAGAAATAAGAATATGAAATACAATGCCTAGTTCCTTTATGAGGGCCAAGCAGATAGCCCCCTTTAATGGATTGCTCATGCCTGGGTCACCATTTCGCATTACATGGCACCACTGCTCTTGCTGCAGCTGACTGCAACCGGGTTGGCATCTGACTCTAGGTGGCCAGCAACCTAAGAGGTGACTGGGTGGGAGAGTGTTGTCCAAAATAATGCTCTCTACTAGCCAGTGCCTTCCTGAGCCCATTGAATGTGCTCCCTCAGGGAGTGAGCTGTACAGAAAAAGGAGACAGAGACAATAGAGTAGCAAAAGAGTGAAAAGACTCCCAGAAACAAGGCACAAAACAGAGGCCAAGAATAACCAGAAACCAAGGGCAAATACAAGCTTTGAGTAGACAGACACTGTATGGCCAGGGAAGAGGAGTTACTGGGCAGTGTCAAAAACAGCAGAGGCAGAGAGGGAGGAGAAGGAGTGGCTGTAATGAGAACACCAGTGCAGGGCGCAATGCATGCCTGAGGCTGAGGGAGTGACAAGGTAGCCAGTCCCTGGAGCAGGGCTGCTGTCTGCCGAATCTTTGTAAAGCTTGGCTGTGCCTAATTGAGACTATTTCCTTTCTTTACATTTTGTGTATCATTAATCCCTACTCACCAGTGACCTACACGCAATTCCATTTCTTTTGGCCTTAGAGAGCTCAGCTCACCCAGATATCACAGCATCTGGTGACTTGGAACCATTATCGCTTGTCATGCTTACAAAACAACAGCCCTAAATGCTAGACATGTCACTTGGTTCTTAAGATCCCAATCTGGATCTTGAGGATATTCATTCAATAAATATTTGCATTTGCCTTCCGCTGTTCTGGGCACTGGAGCCACAGCAGTGAACAAAACAGACAAAAAGCTCGCCTCCACAGAGCGTACATCCAGGGCTGTTTGTCTGTAAGTGCTGGGCTCCAGGGGGCCACCCTGTGGCAGGTCACCTCACGGAGCAGTGACTTTTCTAAGAAACACCAGGAAGCAGCAGGACCTGGCTCTGATGATTTTTCATACGTAAATAAACTAATGGAACCAAATTATATGTTGAACTAATGGAACCAATTTTTTAAAATACTTACAATGTACCCACTTTGCCCATTTAGCAATTATCTCATCTACTCCAAATTTACCTTTCTATACCCTGCTTTGTGGAGCTGGGTTTGGGACTCTACAAATTACATTTCTCTTTTGTACCCACCGTGAACACCCGTTAGGTTCCACCAATCCGGGGGTGGAGGGGAACACTGGAGGGAGACTGGAAGGCAGGAGGAGGAAAGAAGAGCATGCTATTTGCTTGCTATTCAGGTCAATGGCAACCCCGTGAAGGGCTTTGTCCCTGACAGCAGCAGCTGTCCAGACTACTAGGACAAGTAGCTTAGCACCCCTCTGGGGGTCAAGCTCCGGCCAGATGGAACCTTTCACGGAGTCTGGACTCCAGCTCCTTAAGCCTCTCCTCCCAGCCCCTGAGGCATCAACACCTGCAAGACGGTGCCTCTCCTCTGAGCTTCTAGTATCTGAAAACCCCAACCTCTTTCCTCTGGCGTCCCAGCCCTGGGAGTTATACCTCTGTGCCACACCTCTGTGCCCTTTTTCACTTTTCAGTCCTCCCAAAGGTGTTCAAACAATTCTCTACATCAAATTCTCTCTGTTAAAATACCGACTGCTATTTCTGTTTTTCTCACTAGACCCTGATTAACATATCAGCAATGAAATAGTCACTGACCTATCACTGAGGTGTTTACCTTCTAACGAGAATTTCTCAAAGTGGCCTCTCTAACCCCGACCAGGGGGACAGTACAGCCCTGATTGAGACCCCTCCCACTGCAGAGGCTTCCTGACACACAAACTCAGAAACCATGGCTCCCTTGCGGTTCTTGGTGAGGTTTACAGAGGCCGTTGTATGATACAGAACTGGGCTGGTATTTGTCCCTGGTTCCTGGTAAGTCACCTCTAAGTCCTTGGAAATTACTAAATAATAGAAATGTCTTTGTTATTCCTGGCAGGTCCCATGAACCACACCTGAGTATTTGCTGACAAGATGACTCAGGATCCGAGTGATCAGGGGCTGGCCACACCAGAAAGATTTGAGAATTTAGGTTCTGAGCCACATGAGATCGGCCTGACCTCTTGGGGGAGGAGCACTGGAGATGAGTTTAATCGTGTGGCCAGTGGTCCAATCGATCATGCCTATGTAATGAAACCCCAATAAAGACTGGAATCCAAGCCCGAGTGAGCTTCCCTGGTTGGTAATTATACATCGATGTGCTGGGAGGGTTGTGCATCCTGAGGACATGGAAGCTGTGCATTCGGGACCCTCTCAGGTCTCTCCCTACGCATCTCTTCATTTGACCAGTGCTGACATGTGTTCTTTATAGTAATCCTCTAATTGTGCGCAGAGCATTTTCTTGAGTTCTATCAGTCATTCTAGTGAGCTACTGCATCTAAGGGAAGAGTGAGAACCCCTCAATTTGTAGCCATTTGGTTAGAAGTGCGTGTGGCCTGGTCACACCTGCATGGGTGGCTCGTTTCTGAAGTTAGGGTAGCCTGAGTGGGCCTGTGCTCTAACTTGTGAAGTCACGCTAACCCTGGGTAGTCAGTGTCAGAATTGCAGAGCAGGGGCTTTCTAATTTTTATATAGCTGACAGGCTATTAGGGCTTCAGCTAATTGCTGGACACATTCTCTAAATGGTTCATCTAATTTCCCACCAAAAGTCATGAGGCTGATCTAAGTGGCTTTTAACATATAATGTTAACATACAATGATTCGAGTCTCTTACATTGATGGAATTAGTTGATTCAATTAAGCGGTGATCACTGAGAGCAAAAGGCAAAGTATTAATGCCATCGTTATGGAGCAGTTTCTAGATCAATCATATTCATTTTTTCTCTGAAAATCCCACAGACCTTAGCCCATTTTAGAATGGAACCTCTTTTTGAAGTCTTGCCTTCTCAAAAGCCTTGTGAAGAAGAGATTGGTGGGTTTCTGGGAAAAGCAACACTGGCTCATATACGTGTGGATGGTGGTAAAGGAAGTAAGCAGAGAAGATGACCTGTGTAGTAGGCTTGAGAGATCTCCTTCATCTGCCTGCTCGTCCTGGTGGTTAAGATTTCAATCAATGCATCTTCATCTGTCCCAGCGCCCTAAAAAGGGAATCTGTTTTTAGAGCACTTAAAAAACTTAAATTCATGCATTTCAGTCTTAATATCTTGTTTTATATGAATGAAAAGAACAGTTTTGAATAAATCAACATAAGGGTCTTTATGGATCTAAAGCAGTTTTCTAATATTCCATATTTTAGTCTTAAATAATATGAATCATGTGGAGTTAACTGACATTAAATTTCCCCCAAAATTTCATACTCTAATTAAAAATCAATTGAATAATTCTAGGAAGAAATTGTAGAAAGGGAAAAGCCTACGTCATTCGAGATCAGAAGTGAGCATTCAAACACACCATTATATTTAGGAAGGGCTCTGCAATTCTTTTGAATGAGTTCATCCCTACACTAATGTACTAGGTTGGTCAGCATGTATCACCCTCTTCATTCAGGGAGATTTTATTTATTTATTTATTTTTTAAAATATATAGATGTGCCCACAACCAAGGTACGTGCCCTTGACCAGAATCGAACCTGGGACCTTTCAGTCCGCAGGCCGATGCTCTATCCACTGAGCCAAACTGGTCAGGGCGATTCAGGGAGATTTTAAAGCCTCAATAATGTATAATGGGCCCACGTGGTTTAGGGATTAGTTACTCCTGAGCCTTGGTCTATACCGAATCACACTGTGACCCAAAAGAAGCCACTTACACTAGGACTTGATAAAATAAGACCAATGGCCTGGCTGGTGTGGCTCCATGGTTGAATGTCAACTTATGAACCAGGAGGTCACGGTTTGATTCCTGGTAAGGGCACATGCCCAGGTTGCGTAGGGAGAGGGGCAGCCAATCAATGATTCTCTCTCATCATTGATGTTTCTATCTATCTCTCCCTCTCCTTTCCTCTCTGAAATCAATAAAAATATTTTTTTAAAAAACAACACCAATGCAGCATATGAACAGAGGCTGAATTCGTGTCCCTCCATGGCAGATTCCTACTTGCCCCCATATCTTGCCTTTAAAAATTATTAATTTAAAAATTTTAAAGACACAAATTTTTAGAGTAGTTTTAGGTTCACAACAAAATTGAGTGGACCCAGTATATCTTTTATCTTCCATGCTTAGTAATAAAATGCCTAATTTTTTTACTTAGCACATAACTACCCAAGTAAATACATACTATGTGTCTCAGCTTCCCTTAGAGCTAGGTTTATCCATCTAACTAAACTCTCATTAACGGAATATATGTGAAGTTCCCTGTACATTTTCTGATAGTCCCCAAGGAACCGGGATGAACCCTTCTTTGTCCCTTACTCTTTTTTAGCTTGGATGAAGACATATGGCTGGACTGAAACTGGATCTTTGTTGAACTGGGATGGTCAGGAGAGGGCGTGATGATTTTACATTTCAACTTGGCCAGGCTACATTCCTCAGTTATTTAACCAAACACTAATTAGGTTTGCTCTAAAGGTGTTTTGTAGATATAACTGAAGTCCATTATCAGTTGACTTTAAGGGAGATTATCTTAGATATTTTATGTGGGACTAATTTAGTCGGTTAAAAGGGTGTATGAGCAGACCTGAGGCTTCTCTGAAGAAAAAATTCTACCTGTGGGCAGCAGCTTGAGGTGGTGCTAAGAGTTCAAGCCTGCCCTTCAGATTTTAGATTTGCCTAGCTAGCTCCATAACCATGTAACCAAGTCTTGCAATACATCTCTTAATATATATCTCCTGCCTACTGGTTCTGCCTCTCTGGGGAACCCTGACTGATAACAGGTAGAATTTTAAAAAGACACAGAGATAGATAGGAGCCAGACTGTGCTGGATAATGAAGATCATGGAAAGGAGTTCAAATTTTAAGTATTCAAATTCATTGGCAATTTATGCAGCTGAATAATATAATCGATTCTAGAAATAACTTTATAAAAATAATTTTGGCTATTCTGTGTGAATAAACTTGAGATGTGTAAAAATGGAGGCAAAGGGGCCAATTAGGAGGCCATTGGTATGGTCCAGTCAAAAGATGATGGTGGTGAACTAGAATATTAGCAATGGATTTTGAGAGATGTGCTCTCATTTTTTATAAATCTTGGAGTAGATCTAATAGGCCTCCAGATAGATTTGGGAGCTCTGAAGGATGAGGGAAAGCAAGGGATCAAAGATAATACTAGGTCTTTGGCCTAACCAGTGGGGTTGATGATGGTGCCATTCATTTTGAATGGCAATAAAATAGAGAATTTGAGTCTTCAGGTCAAAAAACAAATAAATTAGAATGACAATATCCTTTCAGCCCAGGATCACCTGGGTTCAAGGTTCTACAACTGCTTCCCACTTCAGGGTTGTTCTACCAATTTGAGAGTACAGATACAAAATGACACCCAAATCTATCAGATTTACACCCATATCTCAAGTGTGCATGGGAAGAAAGTCACCATTTTTGATGACATAGTCAAATCCTGAGCAGAAATGACTTGTGTAGGGCTCATACCTTCATGGATTTCTTCAACTGCTTCGCATCAAACACTGCCGGAGGAGTCACGAGGGCCACCATGAGATGCTCGAAGTGGCCAGAGAGATCACTCTTCAGGTCATCTTTCAGTTTCTAAAAAAAAAATGGTAAGCATGACATACTCTTCCTTTTTCTTTCTCTAAGTCACCTAGTGAAAGATGAACATATGTAACAATATAGATGAAAACATGAATGTTCTAAAACTCTCTCTAACCTCATCTCTTCCTTCTGCTTCCTCTTACACCCATACCTTTGACTTTCCATATTGCTGCCATATTGGAACTTTTTCTGTTCCTTAAATGTTCACACCTGGATTTGCCTCAGGATTTTTGCATTTGTATCTTCTGTCTGAAATGCTCTTCTCTCCACATCAAGCAGAGCAAAAGCCTTGGCATTTAGTCTTAGTTGAGAGTAAGGTAACAACCCCCCTCAGTGCTATCTCTTCACCACCCGATCTAAAGGAGCCATTCACCAGTCATTCTCTACCAATCATCCTATTTTCATTCTTTCATAGCACTTACCAATATCTGAATTTATTTTATTTACTTATTTATTATTTTTCTAATTGAATAGTAGTTCTATGAAAGAAGAGAGGATCTGCTTTTTATACCAGTGAATCTCCAATGTCTAGGGTATCTTCTGACTCAGCGAAATACCACAGTTCTGACACAGAGTAGTTTATTATTGAACAAATAAAGCATGTGAAGAAAAAGACACACAAATGTTCTTGCATAGTTCTTAATACAGTTTCTTATACTTAGTAAATTTTCATTTGCTGAATGAATTAAACCTATAATTACATACACATGTTACAGTTAAAAGAGAAATTAAAGCTCATCTTAGACAGGATTTATCAGATAATTGGTCAGATAATTCTTTGTTGGGGGAGGGGGCCTTGCTTGTGCATTGTAGGATGTTTAGCAGCATCCCTGACTTGTACCCACCAGATGCCAGAAACATCCCTCTCTCCCCCACCAGTTGTGATAATCAAAGTGTCTGGGGACATTGCCAAATATTCCCTGGAGAGTAAAATCATTACTGGTTTGGAGCCAACCATCTAAGGCAACTTGATTATTCAACAGGTAAAGAAATTAAGGCCCAGAAAGATCAAATAACATGCCCAAGGCTATTCAGCCAGTTAAGGGCAAAACCAGAACTCATATTCCAGGTTGTTGACTGGAAACTGGGTACTTTCTGTTATACTTGGCTTCAAACAAAAGATCTGTGGGCATAATCCATGGGAACATCCTGGTCCATTAGTGACTAGTTCTTTACTGCCCATGTTAATCAACTGTACCTTTTCATATGCTGCTTGATATTCCTTAACAATCAGCTGCCGCTGTGCATTCGACCTCTCAGTCAGAATGCTGATAAGCGTTTTCTCGTCAGTTCCTAAATGAAATGAAAATAATGTTACTTACTACCAATCCAAAGATGCTTAGTACCTGTCATGAACAAAAGAAAATGATTGATGGTCTGAAACAAATGCAGACAGGAAGGCATTTTAATTTTTATTATTATTTGTTTTAGAATATTTTGTTGTTGTTGATAATCCTCACCGAAGGATATTTTTTCCTTTTTTTTTTTTTTTTTTTTTTTTTGAGAGAGAGTGGAAGGGAGTGAAGAGACAGAGAGAGAAGCATCAATGTGAGAGAGACACATCCATTGGTTGCCTCCCGCACACGCCCCAACCGGGGCAGGGGTCGAACTTGCAACCCAGATACGTGCCCTTGACTGGAGTCAAACCTAATACCCTTCAGTCCACAAGCTGATGCTCTAACCACTGAGCAAAACCGGGTACGCTAGAAGATGTTTTTATTGATTTTAGAGAGAGACAGGAAGGAAGAGGGGAAGAGAGAGAAACAGCTGCCTCTTGCATGCCCCCTACTGGGGATAGAGCCTGAAACTCTAACCCTAACTAACCCTAAACCCAGGCATGTGCCCTGACTGGGAATTGAACTGGTAAACTCTTGGTGCATGGGATGACACTCAACCAAATGAGCCACACCAGTAAGAATGGCATTTTAATTTTTAATTTCCAGGTTAAAATCTTTATTTCTTTGTTTGCCTGACTTTCTGAAAAGGAAATTAACTTTATTTGTATAGTTTTTGGGGAAGAAAGCAATCACTGCCTAAATATTTCTCTGACAGAGGGAGCAGCACAGGAACATACTGCTTTTGGACCAGGTGTTTTTCCCGTATGAGGTTCAGTTACTATCCTGTATCTTTTCTCTTTCTTATCTCCATACTTGACATCAAAATCTTCTTTCCTCTAAAAAAAGAAACTGACATTTATTGAGAACCCACCATGTACTAGACACCTTTTACTAGTAATTACTGTCATATTTAATATTCACAGAGGCCCTGGGAATAGGTATGATTAAACTGTCCTAAAGATGAAGATACTAACACTTAGAAAACTTACCTCACTTGCCAGAGTCATGCAGCTTTTAAGTGGTGAACAGGAATTTGAACCCAAATTTCTGACTCCAAAACATATATCTCTCCTGGTCCATACCTCTCTCGGGCATTCCACACCTATTTACTTAACCACCTGAGTGAAGAATAACATCTGGCCAGGGCTGATGCTGGCCTGCCCAAGAAAGACCTCACGATCACTAGTTTCTTAACCATTATAGTATTAAGCTAATGTAAGTCATGTTAGCCTCCTTAGCAGTAGAGGAATACACCTCGGTTGGGAGCTATGAGCTGGCCTACATGCATTGGGTCTGCATGACTAGAATGGTATAAAAGAATAATTGGAATGCTAGACTCAACTTCTCTGTGTTAAACTGACCCACACACAACTTGGGTGTACACAATCTTGACAATCAATGGTACACACTCTACATCATTGATGGGATAAAAAAAAAACTGTACTTGGTTAGCTACTAAGTCTCCCATTGAAAGATGCTGCCCCACTGTATCTGTGGTCTTGTAGTTTTCTATACAGTTAAGACAACACAGACTTAGAGTCAAGCCTAGTTGTGTCCTGTGAGCCTGACTATTAACTTGGACCTGTAATGGCTTCTGTGTTGGTGCATGACTAGACACTTCCAAATGCATAAGTATCTCAAACTCAGCATGCCCCACATTGAATTCATTCTACTTCCTTTCTAACTTTTCTTTCATTCTGTTCCCTCATCAATGACACACTATGATGTAGTCATCCAACCAAAAATCCTGGGAGTCATTCTATACTCCTTTCTCCTCTTTCCTCCCTACATTGTAGCAATCATCTGCATCTCTTGAATTTGTCCTCTCCTCTACCACTGTGTGCTCATCATATATTACCCAGAAACTTCAACAGCCTCCTAATTTGACCTCCTTATAACTCATACTGTATATTACTGCCTAAACAAGCATCTGATCATATTAATCTCTTGCTTGAAATCATAATGCTCTCTGCAACCTTCAGGATGAAGGTTACACTCCTTTACTTAGGTCATTAGGATCTAGCTCAGATGCTTTATGAAGCCTGCTTTAGAATATGACTATACAGAAGGATCATAGTTACTGCCAGAGGGAACTGATTTAATGTCACGAGAGGCTGACATACACCGTGGATCTGTTTCCTGTGAGAGAATTCTGATTTCTCCAGGAAGCAACAATCTTTTTAAAAAAAATATATTTTATTGATTTTTTACAGAGAGGAAGGGAGAGAGATAGAGAGTTAGAAACATCGATGAGAGAGAAACATCGATTAGCTGCCTCCCGCACATCTCCTACTGGGGATGTGCCCACAACCCAGGTACATGCCCTTGACCAGAATAAAATCTGGGACCTTTCAGTCCGCAGGCCGATGCTCTATCCACTGAGCCAAACCGGTTTCAGCATGGGAGCAACAATCTTGATTATTGGTGCAGCGGAAACCTGGACCCAAATCTCTGACTAGAAAACATGTATATCCCTCTCTCAACCATTTCTGACCCATAAACTTGCAATAAAATTTACTATTTACTATAACCAATGTTAGAAGAAAACCACAAACCAGAAGAAGATATTTTCATGGCCTGTAATTTTTAAAAAAGTTTAATATCCAGAATTTATAACCTGCCAATCATGAAGAAGACAATCCAACTAAAAAATGGATAAAAGATATGAAGAAGTCAATCATGGAAGAGGAAGCAAATAATCCAGAAATGATTATTTGGTAATGGGAATGTGGAGAAGAGAGGTAACAAACACAAATTCAGAATGAGATGCAATTTTAAATTCTTTTACTTTTTAATTTTTGAGAGAGAGAGAGAGAGAGAGAGATTTGTTGTTCCATCTATTTATGCATTCATTGGTTGATTCTTGTATGTGCCCTGACTGGAGATAGAACCCAGAATCTTGGCATGTCAGGATGATGCTCTAACCAACTGAGCTACTCAGCCAGGGCCAAATGAGGTATCATTTTAGTCTCACTCAATTGGAAATATGGAATAGTATGACCTTAGCGAGTATTGGAAGAATATGGAGCAAGAGGAAATCTCATGTATTCCTGCTAGGAATGCTATTTTGTATAATCATTTCAGTGAGCAGTTTGGCAATGATTTTAATTTGAAGATAAACACCTTCAACTTAGAAATTCAATTGTTTTATTTCAGAGAAATGTTAGCAACTGTGCACATGAGACATAAGCAGGAATATTTAATGTGATATTTTTATATTGTAATAGAAAAGAATTATAGGCAACTTAAATATTCCATTAATATTCCCATTTTACAATATAGTAATCTAATAGACTGCTATGCAGTTAAAATTAATGAACTAGAGCTAAACATATCAACGTGGATAAATCTCAAAAACATAATGTTAAGGGGTAAAAAGTTACAGAAGAATTTATGCAGTATGATTTCAATTTATACTGTTTGAGACCATGCAAAACAATATGATGTACATACATATGTAGTTACAAAATTACAACTTTCATGGGAATGAACTCTAATTTAAGATAGTGTTTATCTCTAGGGAATGAGATGGGAATGAGGTCCTGGAAGGATTGGCAGGGGCTGTATTTGTAATGATTTATAATGATGATGATAATTACTATTGCTGGTAGCAGTGATGGTAAGTAAATAGGGAAAATTTTAAGATTTAATAAAACTGGGTTCCCTATACTTTTCCTCATTATTTCACAATTTTAAGGATCTTACAATTTCTCTAACTGAGTAAGCCAACTTGGGCAAACTGAACCATTTCACTTTTGGACTGTAAAATATAATCTAATTTGCTTCAACATGAAGAGAGGAATTATAAAGCACCACTCACCAATTCCTCGGATTGCCTTTCGAATCGCTTCAGCATCCACTGATGGGCTAAAGCCTGGATAATCACGCACTGTCCCACGGTGTCCCACCTGGAAGGAAATATTTGAAAGTCCCACCAGTTCAAAATGACACTTTTGTTTATATTACATATGCATTTTCCCATCCACTATCTACACTAATAAAAGAGAAACATGGTAATTGGCGTACGACCGCTACCCTTTTCATTGGCTAATCAGTGAGTATATGCAAATTAACTGTCAGCCAAGATGGTGGCAGGCAGCCAGGCACTGAAGGGAGCAGGGAGGCTTGCTTGCTGCAGACTCCAACGTTCGCTGCCTCACTTGCCAGCCTCTCAGCTGCAACTCTAAGCAACTATATACTATGTTGCAAATAAGAAGGTAAACAAACCCCCAGAAAAGGGCTTCCATTCAGCCGGGCTCGGACCGCAACATTGTATCTATGTTTTCAGCAGCAAGGCCTCAGAG